AACTGGTCGCGTCATGTGTGGTCTCTCAACGGACGCTATGGCAGAAACTTAGATGCAAATCAAAAGTAACTAGCAGTTGCAGTTGCGTTTCACCGTCTGTTCTGGGCCTTAGTAGCGGCCTGCGTCCAGCGCCTTCCTGCTACCTTCAGGTCGTTGGTCCACCTTGTGGGTGGATGTCCCACCCTGCGTTTTCCGGTACGTGGCCTCCACTCCAGACTTAAAGGCTGCCCCATAAAGGACCAGAATATTTATTTATTTATTTTCATTTAAATACTTACACTTAAGTAATGATTAAATTGAGGAAGGAATTCAGCTTCAACTTTCACTCAATGCAAATTAATATGGAGTCCTCTAATTTAGGCTTTTAGTACTCTGTATGAATCCGCAATGAATAAATAAATAACCGTGTTTTTTGTTTGCAGTCGGCCCTGCAAGTCGCCGCCGAATCGCAGTGTCTCCTGCCTGCACTATTTGATTTGATTAGGTAAGTGGCATTTATATACTTACCTTACTACATAGTGCTCATTATTATGCAACCAATATCAACTGAATAAGCAAAATTACATATTTTACTCATAAATATTATAGAAGGTGACAAATAACATCATTATGACAATGTGTGTTTCATACAATATGGATACGTTTAATGTATAATTAATTATTTAAATAATATATTTTCATTTATAAAATTTGTAGCCATTCATATCATTCCTTCCAACACTTGTCCTTTTACTCTTCCACAATTTCCATGCCTTATGTTGTTTATTATGAACTGTATCCCCAAATCTCTTGTACGTAGTACTTATTATTATTCTGTGCCGTAACCGAAACCGGTATAATATTATTCTAATATCTGTAACCTTATCCATAACCGAATATTCATATCCAAACAAACAATCAAATCTTTCCTCTTTATAATATTAGTAAGTATAGATGACTACCGAAAGATTTAAAGAATCAAATGTTTACAGGAATGATGCTGAAGCTAGCTGCACTATTGGCGTGGTGCGTCACCGTGATCGCCACCGCAGACTCGGCCCCAACCGCTGCCTCTGGTTCCACAGGGTCCGGCGGTTTTGATGCTTTTTACAAACCGAACATCGAGGAGTACAAAAATAATGGCACTGGGGACATCATGACAAATAAAGATTGTCCAGGAGGCAAAGTAAAAGTTAATAATACTTGTTATGAAACTGAAACAGAAGCTTCTAATGTTGATTATGATGAGGAATTAAATATATATATATAAAAGAAAGTCGTGTTAGTTACTCCACTTATAACTCAAGAACGGCTGAACCGATTTAGCTGAAAATTGTCAGGGAGGTAGTTTAGAGCCAGGAGAAGGACATAGGATACTTTTTGTCCCGTTCGAAATAAAAAAAAGTCTGCTTATTTATTGCCATTAAGGCGGAACAAAGTTCGCCGGGTCAGCTAGTGGAATATAAATTCTTTCGTCATTTGGCCAAGCCTATGTTCAGTAGTGGACGTCCTGTGACTAAAATGGTGATGATAAGCGCCGATATAAATAGAACCATAAGCTTAATGTAACGGGTGTTTTTTTTAGAGGTATACAAATTTAAATTGGTTACACTGTTTCTAGTGATAGTTAATTTGATAGTTGGTGGTACATTTGTGGACAGTATGTTTTGTTAAATAGAATTACTTCAAAACAACGCTTGCAAATTGTGCAAAAATGTATTTTAAAAAATATGGTTTAGTTTTCCATACAAACGTCCATATTTCGTAATTTTCGTAACTTTTCATTCCTCAGATGAATGATATTAATGTGGCAGAGCTATGGTTTCAACAAGATGGTGTTACCATCCATCCAGCACGCGACACATTCAATTTATTGCGGGAAACATTCGATGAGCGCATAAATTCACGTGATGGATCTTTGAATTGGCCTCCACAATCGGGTGATCTCACACCTATGGATTATTTTCTCTGGCGATATGTGAAGTCCACTACTGATAACTATGTGAATGTAGTAGGGTCTATTTTTCAACAAAATTGTACGGTCAACAGCACGTCAACGTAAACACTGTGGTATCTTACGTAGTTGCGATAGGGGCGACTTTGCAACGAAAATGTATAGCTTGATGTGCTGTCGACTGTACAATCTGATCCGATATACTGTTCACTGTACACATACTAAAACTTTAATAAAATTAACACAATATGGACTTTTATTTTTGACTTATGGACTTTTCAAAATCAAAATCAAAAATATTTATTCAATTTAGACCACAAGTGGCACTTATGAACGTCAAAATATAGTAAATAATAATTAACTTTTAAAAAAAATAAAACCGACTTCAAATGCGTGGACACAAAAAAAAACTTAAAATTAAAAATATTGCGTATAAAAAAGTTCAACCCCAATTTTCCACCCTTGGGGGTGAAATATTTTCTTCAAATTCGCATGAAACCACCCTTTTGATAATACCTATTCAACAAAAAAATAATCGTTCAAATTGATTTATAATCGGCGGAGATATTGCGTATAAAAAGTTCATCCCCAATTTTCCACCCTTGGGGGTTGTTTTTTCTATTATTAAATTTAAATGGGACCACCCTTGAGGTATTACCTATACGCCGAAAAAAGATTTGTTCAAATCGGTTCATAATTGGCGGAGTTATCGCGTAACAAACATAGAAAAAAAAAAACATACGGGTCGAATTGAGAACCTCCTCCTTTTTTGAAGTCGGTTGAAAAAAAGGTAGCCCTTATTGGGCACTTTACATGTCTCCTTATCTTTTGGGCCCTACCAGCAGCGCTTCGAGACAAACATATGGCAATGCTGAGAAGAAACGCCGGAACAAACTCAGTTTTTATTTTTGACTCTACCTGTATACCTTATATGTAGACGACCTACACTGAACTGTTCCACCCAAACTCAATGACAGGGGGAGCCACCATCGTTCAATGATATAGTTTCCAACATAGCAAAAATCGGAACCAGCGATCCGGTATTGACGGTGGCGCCCCCCTGTCAATGTCACGGCTGGGACAGTTCAGTGTATTGGGTCTATACTGACGAAGGTGGACCGACAACATCATAAAGGTAGGAGGAAGGCGCTGGACGCAGGCCCCCAACGGATCAACATGGAAATCATTGGAGGAGGCCTATATTCAGCAGTGGACGTCCTGACGTTCATATTGTATTATATCCCGTTTTTCTTTACTGATCTGCCCCTACTTTCTTTTCAAAAATAAATGTTTTCTTTGAGTAAAGTTTTCTATCTACTATTAAGGGTACTTTCCCTCCAGGTGGCATTACAAAATTCCACCCTGTATAGCCTTAAGCCTTCCTTGAAATTAAATGGGCTATCCAACACAAAAATATTCTTTCAAATCAGCCCAATAGTTCCTGACTCAGTTACAGTTAAGCGCTACAATATTAAGGAAAACTAGCTTCAAAACACACGTTATTATCAGTACGGAAATAATACGCTATAAATTATATTTATAGTCTTTGCTACTCATAATATACTCAACATCAAATAAATCGCACATTCCGCGACGCGAACTTTAAAGATTTTCTTCTGACACAATCATGGTGCCCCAACAATATTGGTGTTATTTGAAAGCCCAATAAATAAACTTAAAGAAAAACTCATTAATTTCTTAATAAACGATTTACATATACCATAAATATGACTTGAAAATGGACCTCACTTGGGGCTCACCTCTGAGATCAATTAGACCAATTTTCATGGTTATAAAACCAAATAATGATCTCACGTGTCCTCTTTAATAGATGGATAACGATTAATCCCAACTTAACAGTTTTATAGCCATACAATTTGGTTCAAGCGTAACTACCTATTTTTTGAAGAAGTGACTGGATCCTTCGAAAGACATATTTTTGGCGTAAAAACCTTTCCTTTAATGAAATGAAGTTTAGAACTAAGCTTTTAAACGGTGCCAATATTGATGGGAAGTGGGGATGCATACGTTTGAAAGTGCATGTCGCGGCAGGTGCGATTTATTTGATGTCAAGTGTATTTAACGACACTGACTCTTCCCGTATTCACAAACGATGCTTGCTTAAGTGAAGCAGCAAATCGAACGCACAGCGTTGAATAGAGCTCTGTGATTGGTTCGTGTGTCACCCTGTGCGTACACGCGCACTGTGAGACCTCATAGTAATGTTTGTGAATACGGGCGTTAGCCACTAGCAAGTGACAGGACCTAAGGCTGGCTACACATTGGTTCCAACGCCAAACGTCCAACGTGTGGGCATAAAAATACTATTGGCACCAACGTTGGTAATCACCATGATAGTCAACATGTGGACGCCTCACGCAATTATAGAAAAAACCCTAAAATTGGATGAAGTCACTGCATGAAGTGACACATCGGGCACACACAGTAATTGTATAATTTTAGCATCAAAACACTGTCAAATACAAAAAAATATACTTACCTTTGCTTAGCACATAGATTTGTTGAGTCGCTGCACTCCGTCAATAACCGTTTTTATTATATTTTCAAATTTTATTCGCGCGGCAAATGATCAAAATTTTAAATTGAATTATTGGCTGAATGAGGCGGTGCTGCCATCTATCTTCTATTAATTCACTATTGTCACTTTCTTTTCATAATTATAGCTGTCGCTAGTTGGTTCAATTTGGACATAATACATAATGTGTTAATGCTCACTCAAAACAACTACTGCTATACAGGCTTCGAGCCTAGCAGAAGAAGTGGTCATCATTACCTGAGAAATGCTGTTTGTAAATAAAGATTTCTTAAAATAATATTAGTTATTTGTATTTACAAATTGCCAATAATCCCATTAACCCCTCGTGCAAGCTAAATAGTGCTTGTTAGTGGGCTCACCACCATAGTTAAACGGAAGCGGGGATCAAAACCGCGTTCCTCGGATCACGAGTCGGCCAGTCCGACACCTTGACCGTTCGGCTATTTATTTATTGGTTGTCCCTCATATGGCACTGAATACATTGTAGGGTTATTTTGTTGTACGACTTACCTGGTCATCTTCAAGGTGGTATGTCTCGTCCAGTACGGGCGGGTTGTTAGGGTCATATCTGTACACGCTTCCGTCAGGGTTCGATAGGGGGCGTCCCGTCTGCAATACAAAGAAAAAAAAAATCAATAGAAACAGGGAGGGGCACAAAAAGCGTATTGGCAATAGCTCGTGAAACCCTAAGACCATAGCTGGGCACCGTTAATCAAATAGTTAACTTCGTTAATCGTTAAACCGTTACTAAAAAACTTAACTTCGTTAAACGTTAAAACGTTACATTTCGGATGATTTAACGCAAGTTAACGTTAATCGTTAATCCGTTAACACGTGATAATAAAACGAAAAAAAAATTGTATGCAAAGTTCAAATAATTTCGAACGCTTGTATCGCGCATGGAATTTATTCCTCTTTTATGTTTGCGCTACAAGCTTTCGAAATTATTTGAACCTTGCATAAGTACAATAATTTTTTTCGTTTTAGTACAACTGCATTTCAGAATAAAAGCTTTTATCATACACTTTAGTTGTATCTCAATCTCAGAGCCTTGTACAATTACAAATACAATACCTACAGTTTACCACCAACCAAAGTGCTCGAAAAGACCAATCCAACAAACCCAAACTCGATAAGTTTCCACCGTTTCGTTTAGGAATTCCTTTGGCCACCTCTTGACTCCATCATCAGGACCCTGGACATCAACTAGTACTAAAGTGCTCAAAATGACAAATCCAACGAACCCAAATTCGATGCGATTCCGCCGTTTCATTTAGGAGTTTCTATGGCCACCTCCTGACTCCATCATCAAACCAGCTCAATGGTACCATAACATTGCATTGTCATCGTATAGCCTGACCAGGAACATAAAAACCCTGGCATAGACGCGCGTCAATTGCATTTGATAGTGCAACACTGAGTACAGTCGTACCTGTGTTAAATTAATAGGCTAACTTTATGTATCAGGATTCAGGATTACGGGCTAATTTGATATTTTCATAAATTAACGAAAAAATATTATTATAGGTAATTTGGTTTAAATAAATTAAATAAACCATCAATCGAGCTAGTAGGATTTATTTTATTATTCATCAATAATCAAATTCAGAACTTGAATATTCAACTGCAATGTCTGCTCATGAACGCTTCAAACTCGGTACTTCTTTCCCAATTCCATAAAATTCAACACTTAGAAAGTGACAAAAAACTTTAAAATAGGTAGTTGAAACAAACCACAGCTAATTTTCATAGTGGACTGTACTATACGATAAACATGTCAGTCAATTTGACAACCTTTGTCGGAAACATTTATTCAATGAAAATATTGTCCGAACCCTTAGTATTTCTCTTCGACAAATACTTTTACACATTGTGAACCACTTTTCTTTCACGACTATAAAAAGATTTTAGCAATTTAATTCACAAAATCAATTGCGCACATTCATAATAAAGTTTGTTTACACTTTGACAGCAATAGACTGATATGCAAGGTGACATGTCAATGAAGTTTTCAGTTACTGTTGCCATTAAAAGAAATTAGTACCATTAGTTTTCCGCAACATGGCGAGGGTTTTTATGTTCCTGGTCGGGCTATACTTACATAAGTATACCCAGCTCAATCGGTTGAGGAAAACTGGTCTTAAATTCAGTTATAAATAATTTAAAAACATGCAATTTTTATATCGTTGCGTTGGTAATCTGGTTACAAAACTGTTACTGTTGTTTTGGGTTCTGGAAGTTCTGGAAGCCCGAACGTACTTGTCAGAACGCGTTTTTCAGCGTGTCTGCTGAATCTTTTTGGTAAATAGTAGGTACTGGATTAACGATTAACGGACTTAGGATAATTTAACGGAAGTTAACGAGTCCGTTAACACTTTTTAAAGTTAACTTAAAAGTTAATCCGTTAATAGAAATGTTAACTTCGTTAATTAACGGATTAACGAGTTAATGCCCAGCTATGCCTAAGACCCGGTTTCCAATAAAGCGGAGCAGAGCGGAGAAGAGAGATGTTTTTTTTCTACAGAATTTGACAGCGGCGCGGCGCGGAGCGGAATTGTGTGTCACCTGTCATCCGCTTTGCATTGGAGGGAAGTCGAACGTTAACTTGGAACTCCTTCTGTTCTTCTGATCAATTTAGTTGCGGGTCCAATGACAGTTTAACTTTCCCCCGGGACAAACTTGATCTTCACTGGTTGGGTTGTTGGCGGTCAAGCTGTAGATCCTGGCTACACAGGAGTTGCAGCGGTGGGAACGAGAGGTGGGAACATTTGGTCTGTAGTAACGTTACCTGCGGGTGTAGCAGCCAGGCGCCGGGCGGCACGCGGGACAGGTCGGTGAAGCAGCACACGCCGCCATAGTAATGTAATGAGCGCCATCTATCGGGCGATGCTTGCAACTAAAGCCTGGTCCGTGAGCACGTGGAATCCCGTCCAATGACCCCAAGCTACCCATCCCTATCGCTCGCGCGTAATTATATTGCTGTCGCGACTGTGCGACGGGCGCCCGCAGTGAGTGTGCGAGCGCGACAGCAACATAATGAGGGCTATCGTTGTTTTTATACTTAACAATTGGCACCCCTGGCGATTGACAGGACCTTACTCTACAGTGGCGCCATCTTGATGAGTGCAGATGCGATAGTCCTCCTACCACTTTCGCGCTCACCAGTTGGTGCCACTGTCTTCGCTACTAGCAAGTGACAGGACCTTACTCTACAGTGGCGCTAACTGGTGAGCGCTAAAACGATAGCTCTCATTATGTTGCTGTCGCGACTGTGCGACGGGCCACGGTGATCAATAATGAGATATTAGGTGGATAATATTCAAATTTGACATTGTGAGGGTAGTTAAAACAAATCATCGCGATGTGATTGGGGGTACTTACCTCATATTCTTGTTGAATATGAACGTTTAAAGGTAAGTCATTACTGAGATACCAGCTTGTAAATGCAGTGCTCTCGCTAATTTGTACTGATTTGTTCTATTTACTTCCTGTTTTCGCGCACAGTTATCCGTTTGGTTTGACTTATACAGTGCATTATTGCGTATTATGAAATATGGTGCACATTAATGAAGGTATATACTTCATTTTCTATAACACTTTGTAACTGTTAATTGTTATAGTAATTTGGAAAAAATATTCAAAACTTAGCTTAAAATTTTAGGTATTTTATTTTATTTTAAAGCCTGTATCTTACAAGGAACATATTAGAACATGGAAATTTTGGTACTGGTAGATAGCTGGAAGTCTGTATTATGATATTCAATAAAAATGTTTACCCCAAACTACCCCTGCCTGAACAAACTTTTCATTTTTTGCAGGAAACGAAAGTACAGTTAGAAATTCAGATTTATTTAAAAACCTCAAAAAACTTCCTCCAATTAAACCTGCAACTAAGCAATCTAAAGATATATTATTAAACTATGTCTATGAGGTCGTCAGAGTATCAGATTTGATAACACAAGAGCGAAATGAGTTAAGAAATTCAAAAAATAGCTTTTGTTTGTCAGCTTCCAGAAATTGATTAAAATCGGCAAAGATATCTCTCAATTTGAAAAAAAATATGAGAATTAGTTGTGTAAATGCATAATAACATCTGAAGATCATTATTGAACAGCCTTCAACTTCAGGGTCTGTAGGTAGAGGACGCCCGAAAAAGGCTTTCATCGATTTAGGTGACAGAACTAAGCGTAGTAGATTAAAAGACGAAGTATCATCCAGAAGTGAAGAATAGTTATTGTGCTTAGCAGCCAAGATGAAACTTCATTCAGTCGGAAAACGTAGGGCTGCCTCAGCACTTCATAACATTTCATCATCATCTCCTGAATTTACTGTTAAGTCACGAGGCAGTCTACAGAATTATATTTCGTATTCGACAAAATAGGCACTAGCACTTTTTACCCAATCGAAATTAACTAGTCTTTAATTGATTCTTTTATTGAACTAAGGGCATCATGGGGGGTCCCCATACTTAGAACTGAAACTCAAAAATATTTTTTTCATCAAACCCATACGTGTGGGGTATCTCTGGATAGGTCTTCAAAAATGATATTGAGGTTTCTAATATCATTTTTTTCTAAACTGAATAGTTTGCGCGAGAGATTCTTCCAAAGTGATAAAATGAGAATTTTAAAGTCTACTACTTTCCTCATGAACGCGTAGAGGTATTTAATTGAAATTCATATTAAATAATCAGGTCCATAGTACCTTTAAGCTGTAACAAAATCAAAGTTATATACCTACAGGTTTGTACGGAACCCTCGGTGCGCGAGTCCGACTCGCACTTGGCCGGTTTTTTAAGATTGTAGTCTCAAATACATTATTTTAATAAAGAAATATTTATTTACTTAATGATATTTTCAATAACATTATTAGATAATTGTAATTTTAGATTAAAATATTTTTGTCATCCTAAATTCTGATTATTGATCACTGTGGGGCGCCCGCAGTGAGTGTGCGAGCGCGACAGCAACATAATTACGCGCGAGCGATAAGGATGGGTAGCTTGAGGTCATTGGACGGGATTCTACGTGCTCACGGACCGGGCTTTGGTCTGTAGTCACGTTACCTGCGGGTGTAGCAGCCAGGCGCCGGGCGGCACGCGGGACAGGTCGGTGAAGCAGCACACGCCACCATAGTAATGTAATGAGCGCCATCTATCGGGCGATGCCTGCCACTAAAGCCTGGTCCGTGAGCACGTAGAATCCCGTCCAATGACCCCAAGGTACCCATCCTTATCGCTCGCGCGTAATTATGTTGCTGTCGCGACTGTGCGACGGGCGCTCGCAGTGAGTGTGCGAGCGCGACAGCAACATAATGAGGGCTATCGTTTTAGCGCTCACCAGTTGGCGCCACTGTAGAGTAAGGTCCTGTCACTTGCTAGTAGCGAAGACAGTGGCACCAACTGGTGAGCGCTAAAGTGGTAGGAGGACTATCGTATTTGCACTCATCAAGATGGCGCCACTGTAGAGTAAGGTCCTGTCAATCGCCAGGGGTGCCAACTGTTAAGTATAAAAACGATAGCCCTCATTACGCGCGAGCGATAGGGATGGGTAGCTTGGGGTCATTGGACGGGATTCTACGTGCTCACGGACCGGGCTTTAGTCTGTAGTCACGTTACCTGCGGGTGTAGCAGCCAGGCGCCGGGCGGCACGCGGGACAGGTCGGTGACGCACCACACGACGCCGGGCACGCAGCGCGGTGCCAACTGACACGCTGGTGGCACGAAACATGGCTCTGGACTCGCTCCGCCTGGGGAGTGATAGAATATCATCATCAGGTCATTTAGGCCTCACTGCAGGAGCACACTACACTTCGGAGAATGTGAAAAGGAATTACACGACCTAATTCCACCACCTTCCCTTACTGAGGTACCAGACGCAGGTTAGCGTATCATCCCTCTATTGTCGACATTCCACTATTTCGCACGTTTCGATAACTCTTATAATGCGAACAGCTAAGGACTATCTCAAACGATCGCGAAGTCGGTCTTCGACCGACTTCGCGAAGCCCATACTCGGCTTCGTCGGCACGCGCACCGACGATCGCCAAACGGCTAGAGTACCTTCTGTACTCGCCACTCTGCCCGGTGAAGCTGGAAAAGCTCTTCAAGCTAAAGCCTGGTCCGTGAGCACGTAGAATCCCGTCCAATGACCTCAAGCTACCCATCCTTATCGCTCGCGCGTAATTATATTGCTGTCGCGACTGTGCGACGCGCGCCCGCAGTGAGTGTGCGAGCGCGACAGCAACATAATTACGTGCGAGCGACAAGGATGGGCAGCTTGGTGTCATTGGACGGGATTCTACGTGCTCACGGACCAGGATTTACCAGCGCGCGTCCCTTAAAAAAAAACTTTCTCGAACATTATAATCCGGACCCTTTCAAGGCCAGAGTGAATAGGCAGATATGTACTATCCTAGACAGCATCTTACTTAACTTCAGGTGTGATTGTAGTCAAATACCTGCTTTGTTTTGGATAAAAACAAATCTGTGCTTTTATAAGTTCCAATATCATTCTAAGTTAGAAGCTAGAGGAAGGGTTAGAATTTCTAACCCTTCCTTATTCTTCAGGATAAAAATAAGCCAATGCTGAAAACATTGACACCATCAACAATAATTCTCTCTTCAATCTAGCCTTGAATACCACCAAATCTACGAAAGAGTCGCGTTTTAACAGCTAAACTCCTGTTTATTTTGACATCCTTGTCAAATTAATATCTAGGGTGTCCATTATTCTACGAATACAGACAAATTAAGGATTTAGCTCACATTCCTCCAGGTCAAGTTCTCCTCGTTCTAAGTTGCAAACTCTGTCTTGAGTAGAAAAGCAGCAGAAATGAATCAAAAAGTAAACATACTTGTAGGCGACGGCGTAACGGAGTCGGTGCTGCGAAGGCTGAGCGTCTTGTAGCCCGAGCTGGACGGCGACAGCCGCCAACTGCTGGACGCTAGGTCACCTGCAAACAAACGGTAGACTTAGCGGGTGTAAAATGATGACCGAGTACAATAGAATACCTTTAAGCAGCACTACTTTTTTCCATAATAAAATTTAGCCTATGTTACTCGTGGATAATGTAGCTTTCGAATGGTGAAATAATTTATAAAAACGGTCTAGTAGTTTTTGAGCCTATTCATTACAACCAAACAAACAAACAAAGTTATCCTCTTTATAATATTGGCGTGCTATTGAGCCGCGCAAAACTGCACCCCCAACTGCTACGGTTTTCAAATGATGTTTCAAAATGACCAAAATAGTCTTGTCTTCGATCTGAGACAAAGCAGTTGACAGAGGTTGCACAGATATGAGACAAAGCATAGGAGAGGTTAACATTTGTGTGCATACATGTACAGAGGTTAAATTACTGAGCCATGCTGAAAAGGCGCCCGCTCAGCGAAAATCGTGACATGACACAAGTCGTCAAGTCACGAAGCTGGTTTTCAGCGGGTCGTTTCAGTAGCACGTATTTTCGTTATCTTGACGCCTTTTTTCACTTGGAACACGTCTAGTTTTGGAGTCCTGTCTCCTGTACACCTGGCCTGGTGGTGATGAGACTCGCCTTGCCAGTTCAGCAGCAGAAGATTTAGACAGCAGCTGTGCTGTGCCTCCTATCGGAGGTATCTATAGAGATGATGGTGGTGATGAGACTCAATGATGAACCTTACCATCAAACGCGCAGCTGCCAATGCTGTAATTCTTAGCGTGTTCAGGTCTCTAAAGCCTGGTCTATGAACACGTAGACTCACTGCGGGCGCCCGTCGCACAGTCGCGACAGCAATATAATTACGCGCGAGCGATAAGGATGGGTAGCTTGGGGTCATTGGACAAAATTCTACGTGCTCACGGACCAGGCTTTATCTGGAGACGATAATGGTGATGAGACCAACTTTAGTACTTCAGCAGGAGCGTAGTAGCTAAAACCGTCTTATCTAGAAGGATCTAGAAAGATGATGGTAATGGTGGTACTAAGAATCGTATCACCAGCTCAGTGGCTGAAGAAGTGTGCAGGTATGGCTCTTGGTTGGCAGAGACTACAGTGATGATGATAAAACTAACCGTAGTACTTCAACAGGTTCATAGACGCCGAAATTCTAGCACCTGTAGGATCCAGGTGTCTATCTGGAGACGATGATGATGGTGATGAGACCAAGCTTAGTACTTCAGCAGGAGCGTAGTCACCAAAGCTGTAGCTAACCCTTTCGGAAGAAACCTGGAGAAGATGACGGATGATGATGATGGGTGATAATGACGGTAATGAAACTTACTTTACCAGCTATGCAGTAGCGTAGCTGCTTAAGTTACAATCCGATCCAGGACTTCCTATTCTAGAGACAATGAAAGATGATGATGGAGGATGATGACATGGTGATGATGACTAACCTTGTCAGATCAGCAGTCTTCGACTGCTTAGCAGCGCGGGCTACGTGTAGTTACCCAAGCTACGGCTCTCTTTGTTCCATAGCCCTATTTAGACTGTGTCTATTGTCAGGATAGACCTGGCCTGCTGGTGATGAGACCCACCTTGCCTGCTCAACAGCCGGAGCGGCTTGGAGACGATGACAGATGATGGGGGATTATGATGACATTATGACGGTGACGAGACTAAACTATTTTTTACGGACTGGTGTTACTCCTGTCAGAAGATATCTATAGAGATGATGATGGTGGTGATGAGACCAAGCTTAGTACTTCAGCGGAAGCGTAGCCGCCAAAGCTATAGTTAACCCTATCGGAAGAGACTTGGAGACGATGACGGATGATGGTGAATAGTGGTGATGAGACCAATCTCACTAGCTAAGTAATAGCGTAGTTGGTTAAGCTACAATCCGATCCAGGACCTCCTATCTTGAGATAATGACACTAGGGGATGGTGGTATGATGATGATGATGACCTACCTTGCCTGCTGAGCAGCCGGAGCGGCTTGGGCGCGGGCGCGGGCTGCGCGTAGCCGCCGAAGCTGTGGCACTTGTTCCAGAGCCCTATTTAGACTGTGTCTCTTGCCAGGATAGACCTGGCCTGCTGGTGATGAGACCCACCTTGTCTGCTGAGCAGCCGAAGCGGCTTGGGCGCGGGCGCGGGCTGCGCGTAGCCGCCGAAGCTGTGGCTTTTGGCCACGCCGCGCCGGGAGCACCCGGCCCCGCGCGCCGGGAGACCCGAACTCTCCAGGGATTGCACCTGGCAAACAATATTGATGTGAGCATAGACTAGCTAGAGCATCGGTTCCCAAACTTATTTGAGACGCGCCCCCTTTCAACCATACAACCCCCCCCCCCCTTTACCAGTCAAGATTATTTATTGGTCGTATCGAGGCTGGAATGCATTCTTTTTTAATCTTAGGCACACAGACGACCCGCGCTCCCATTTAAAGGGCTTTGCGCCTCCCCTAGGGGCCGCGCCCCCCACTTTGGGAACCAATGGACTAGAGTATTAACTTAAGACAGAACATCGAAAATTCGAAATCAAATTAAAATATCATAAATTGTTTATTGATTAGCAAAATACAAAGCGTTCCAAAAAGAAGTTATTTATCGACTCACTCCATAGGGGATTATGAACTTTGCTTCTACAAATCCCTATTTGATTCATAGCATTAATATTATTATACACATATTGAAAACATTATGAGACATGTAAAGCACCATAAGAACAAAATATTTGACGATTTGTAAGTGCTATTTAATTAGTCTATCTATACAAATAAAGAAATTTTGAGTTTGATATTCAATGGGAGAAAAGTTCAAAGGACTAAATGGAAAGTTCAGTTTAAACTAAAGTTCTCCATTAATGAGGCGAATCAAAGGGGATGTATGCCTCCTTCCAAAACTTGCTGTGCCCTAACTGGTAAAGCAATAAAGCATTGAGTAAGTACATAGAATACCCCAGAAAATAAAACCCCTACTTATGTATACCACGACGTTAATTTTCAGCATGTATTTGAGACCAGACTCCAACCTGTTCTATCGACTGTTGAGCATGTCACCAGTGATAAATCATTTGTTAAAATGTGGAAATAAATAAACAAAAGATGGGTGTCACCATTGTCAAATCTAGAGTTGAAACATAAATTGAAATAACAAGATGGCTTACTTTGAGTAGTTTGTTCCTGTTAATTTCCGGAGTGAGTACTTTCACCGGGGCACCCAACCAGGGCCACTGGGACTCGTCTTGAGAGCAGTTGTCCTGGAATAGATATCAATAGTGTTGTAATTGTGGTATTTTTAACACGCTTTTGTTAGGTCGTCGTGTATGTAACTATGTAATGGAAACTAAGAATCTGAATTACACGCACTTCTAATTCTTGAATCATCATGAAACTTCGCAATTATAATGTAGATTAAATGACAATACAATATTATGGTACCATCGAGCTGGTCTGATGATGGGACTGGAGTGGTCATAAATAATGATTTCATTTATTGCTCTGTTTATAAAAGCCGAATTACCAATATCACATAAACTAACGAGTGAAATTTAGTTGATGAATGAAAGATAGACTTACAAATGTCACGACAATACAACAATAAAATTAGGCTGGGTTGCACCATCTTATTTTGACTTTAACAAATCTGTCAAACTCTATACAAAAAACGCAGGTTATCGTTATAGTTGCTGTTAAAGATAGGTGGTGCAACTCAGCTTTAGTACTAGTATTTTGCAATACAAATTTGACTAAATTCGCCATGCACTGGAGAGAAGTAGACCCTTAACTTTGAACTCCTCTTATGTTCTTCTGATTAATTTGGTGTCCAATGACAGTAACTTTCCCCCGGGACAAACTTGACTTTCACTGGTTGGGTTGTTGGCGGTCAAGCTGTAGATCCTGGCTACACAGGAGTTGCAGCGGTGGGAACGAGAGGTGGGAATAGTCCCGTACATACCGTGCTGAATATCCGTCTCTTCATCCGCTCATAGTCCCGTTCCCGTTGCTCTAGAGATTTGCTTCGGGAGTTTGCCAATGACCCGTTGCCCGGTTCGTCCAGGGAATGCGTGTCGCGCTTCAGTATTGACCTGGATAACAAATGATTATGTATGTTGTGGTTCAGTGATACTCAAACTACTTAGAAGCTGGAAAATTGAATTAAATTGTCGGATAGATCCAGTTTATTCTGTAACTTAGTATTGTTGATACCGTTTGATAGAACTCATTAAGCACTTTCAGGGTTAGTAACCAGTTTTTCGATATCTTGTATAGTTTAGAAAGAATCGGGTGAGATCACTTATCGTTGCCACCCTGTATAAGCCCTAAACGGGACTGGTTATTCCCAGTCATCAGCACTGGTGAAAAATAATAATATACCTCTTTAAATATTGCTGGTGTTTGTTTAATTATATCAGATTAATCAAGTCATTTAGTCTCCACTTCAACTGCGATTGGGATATACCTATGTTTACCAGTGAACATACTGAAGCTGAAATGATGGTAAATGCCTTGTCCTTACAAATATGCGAACATCAGGCCTCCTCAACCCGTCTGGCCAACATGGGAAGTGTAGGCCAAATCAATTCTAACGGCTATCTGACCTTAAATACTGTTAATTGCTTATTCGACATTTTTACCCGACTGCCCCAGAAGAAAGGATAAGTTTTCTTTTCTTTTTGAAGGGACGGGCACTGGTAGCTTTAAGAGCTTTTTCAGCTTTACCGGGCAGAGTGGCGAGTACAGAAGGTGCTCTAGCCGATCGGGCCGTATCGAGCGCATGAAGCGCCCGATCAGTGGCGAACCCAACTAAAGCCTGGTCCGTGAGCACGTAGAATTTTGTCCAATGACCCCAAGCTACCCATCCTTATCGCTCGCGCGTAATTATGTTGCTGTCGCGCTCGCACACTCACTGCGGGCGCCCGTCGTCCGTCGCCCGGGTAGCTTGGGGTCATTGGACAAAATTCTACGTGCTCACGGACCAGGCTTTAGAGGGTTGCCCACCGCGGTGTTGGACCAAAGTCCAGCCTAGGGATCGAGGGAAGCTTACTCGACGTGTGATGTCGAGTGTAGTCTATTATTTGTTTTAAAATGTCTTACTTGGCATTGGTGGTGTCGGTGACGGTCTGGTGGCGTCGCGGGCTGGGCGGGAATGCGACGGTGCACCACTGTCGGAAACTGGTACACGGGATCCGCCCGCCGCAGGTGCCTGGTGAATGTAATACACACGTTAAAGAAATCCTATAATAATACATAATGTAAAAGGGACGATTTTGGTGTGCAGACGGAACTTTTTGTATGGTACAACACTGAAACCGAAAGTTTAGGAATATGGCGCAGTTATACTTTGCGTTACCTAGGTCAAATCACACAGTGTAAACTAAATACGTAGTTAAGTTCGATTCGCTGTGTGTCGCTCATTCTTTCTTGCGCGTGTTCGATCAAGTTCGCGCATAGTGTAACTACACCAATGGGATTAGGCCACAGTTTCTCGAACTGCCGAACCCTTGGGTACTCGTATAGAGTTCGTGTTCATTGCTCCTAATAATTGGTTACGAGCGATTAGCTAGTACATGTAACGCGGCGGTGGTAGATGTCCTTGTCTACAGTTCCATATACCAACATAAGCTCAGTAGTTTTGTGGCTGTTGATCAACTGAGGCTCAGCGTGTGGAACAGCGCAGCCCAGGAGAGAGGGAGAGAGAGACGTAAAGCTGTAGAGACACCCACCGCTCTTGGACACGACCACTTGGTTCTTGTTCATGGGGTCCGGATGGTGCGCCAGCATGCGGCCGTATGACGTCACCGGGACACGGGAGAGAGAGGGATAGTAGGAGAGAGGGAAGGATAGTAGGAGAGAGGGAGGGGTAGTAGGAGAGAGGGAGGGATAGTAGGAGAGGGATAGTATGGGGAGAGAGAGAGGGATAGTAGGAGAGTGAGAGAGAGAGGGATAGTAGGAGGATTGATAGGAGATAGAGAGAGAGACACGCACCGCTCTTGGACACCACCACTTGGTTCTTGTTCATGGGGTCCGGATGGTGCGCCAGCATGCGGCCGTATGACGTCACCGGGACACGGGAGAGAGAGGGATAGTAGGAGAGAGGGAAGGATAGTAGGAGAGAGGGAGGGGTAGTAGGAGAGAGGGAGGGATAGTAGGAGAGGGATAGTATGGGGAGAGAGAGAGGGATAGTAGGAGAGTGAGAGAGAGAGGGATAGTAGGAGGATTGATAGGAGATAGAGAGAGAGACACGCACCGCTCTTGGACACCACCACTTGGTTCTTGTTCATGGGGTCCGGATGGTGCGCCAGCTGGAAGAGCGCGGCGCAGCGGTGCACCAGCATGCGGCCGTATGACGTCACCGGGACGCGCGGAGAGAGGGATAGTAGGAGAGAGAGAGAGAGGGATAGTAGGAGAGAGAGAGGGATAGTAGGAGGATAGATAAGAGATAGAGAGAAAGACACGCACCGCTCTTGGACACGACCACTTGGTTCTTGTTCATGGGGTCCGGATGGTGTGCCAGCTGGAAGAGCGCGGCGCAGCGGTGCACCAGCATGCGGCCGTATGACGTCACCGGGACGCGGGAGAGAGAGGGATAGTAGGAGAGAGAGAGACACACCGCTCTTGGACACGACCACTTGGTTGATTATGTATGACGACATCACTGGGACGAGACTGAGAAAGAGAGAGAGAGAGAGGGATAGTAGGAGAAAGAGAGACACTTACCGCTTTTCGAGACGACCACTTGTTGATTATGTATGACGATATTACTGGGACGAGACAGACAGAGGGATAGTAGGAGAGTGAGAGGGATAGTAGGAGAGTGAGAGGGATAGTAAGAGTGTGAGAGAAAAGGGGAGAAATAGGAAGGGAGAGAGAGGGATATGAGAGTGAGAGGAATAGTAGGAGTGAGAGAGGGGGAGAAAGAGAGAGAGAGAGAGAAACGACCACTTGTTGTTCATATATGAGGACATCACTGGGACAAGACTGAGAGAGAGGGATAGCAGGAGAGTGAGAGAGAGAAAGTAGGAGAGAGAGACACCGCCTTTGGAGACGACCACTTGTTGATCATGTATGACGATCTCACTGGGACAAGACTGAGAGAGAGGGATAGCAGGAGAGTGAGAGAGAGGGAGAAAGAGAGAGACACCCACCGCTCTTGGACACGACCACTTGGTTCTTGTTCATGGGGTCCGGATGGTGCGCCAGCTGGAAGAGCGCGGCGCAGCGGTGCACCAGCATGCGGCCGTATGACGACATCACCGGGAAGCGGACTATGCAGCGCCTGTGGGAGAGAGAGAGAACGGTGGGCTGAGTGTGAGTTTACAAAATGTATGAAAATTTTAGTTTAAAAATTCCCGCTAGGGGCGCTGTACAATCCGTCATACATTTAAGGTGATGCCTTGCGAATATTGGGCGTTTTAAAGAAGCGCAGAATTAGTTTTAATCGTACTTTTCTTATTACTTATGTTCTTATTTTGAAATATGTCATAGTTGACTAATAAATCTAGTGTCTGGTCGAAGCCGAAACATGAATGGAAACAATTTTCTCGATAGAAAAAAAATCCAAAGATGACCCTTCTATTACTAGGTTTTTCGTTTTATAAGCAGATAGGCTAATATTTCAATACCAAATTTTGTATATTGGTAAGGTAATAACATATTTTAAGTACTGGTCGAGTTATTTTCTTTAAATAGTGTTTGGTTTTTCAATAAATGATTTCCGATTTTTGTCGCTTACGTTATTTTATTCCGCGCCGCGCGCGCTATTGCTGTCCCTTTCCTCGCACTGAGAAATCATATTTCTATCCCTCTGTGTGCGAGGCATTCAGTCGGCCGAAAACTTTGACGAGGTAGCGCCTTAATGACATTTTTTGTTTTGAAAAAAAAAAACTCACACTCAGCCCTCGGGAATAACGCCCGTATTCACAAACATTACTATGAGATCTCATAGTGCGCGTGGACGCACAGGGTGATACACGAACAAATAACAGAGCTCTATTCAACGCTGTGCGTTCGATTTGCTGCTTCACTTATGCAAGCATCGTTTGTGAATCCGGGCGTAAGATTATTTTGTTTTTGTTTAGATCACAAAAGTTACACCAACAATATACTTATTAAAATATTAACAACTAGCTACCCGGCGAACTTTGTATCGCCTATGTTTATCAGAAATAATGGCGTTTTGTTTTCAAATCTGTTCAGTCGTTTCGGAGCCTATTCAATACAAACAAACAAAGAATCAAATGGTTCCTTTTTATAACATCAGCACCACTTTTCTGAACGTGTGCCAAAGAGCTTATATTAGTATCAAGTGAGGTAATCTTACGGTCACCCTCTCGTATAAGACTAGGCGCAGACCACCGATTTTTAGTCGGCCGACAGTTGGGCCCGATTCTTAATTGTATGAAGAATCAATCGGTGTAATGTGTGCACTTCCATAAATACCCATACTGATTAACTCCCCAACTAAACTATCGGCCGATAAAAAACGGTGGTCTGGCCTAGACTTATATTAGCTTTGACATGTCATTTTCAACCGTATGATATGAAAAATGGCGTTCTGTTAAAATTATTTGACTTACATTGAATCGTTAACCAGTGCGTGCAGTTCCTTCTCGATCCGCAGAGCAGAGCAGCAGAGTGACTCGATTCGGCAGGGCCGTTCTTGTCTCTTAAGAACTAAAGTCCGGTCGCCGAACAGATAGCATTTCGTCCAATGACCCCAAGCTAGCCAAGCTTGCGGCCGCCCGTTGCACAGTCGTGACAGCTATAATTACGCGCGAGCGATAAGGATGGGTAGCTTGGGGTCATTTGACGAAATTCTCTCTGCTCGGCGACCGGCTAATGACTAAACTAAACTGATGGTAAATGATGATGATGATGACTGTCCACATGGAATCGTTGACGAGCGCGTGTAGCTCCTACTCGATCCGCAGCAGAGTGACTCGGTCCCTCCCGTTCTTGTTGAGGGTCTCTTATTAACAAAAGTCCGGTCGCCGAGTAGATAGAATTTCGTCCAATGACCCCAAGCTACCCATCCTTATCGCTCGCGCGTAATTAAGTTGCTGTCGCGACTGTGCGACGGGCGCCCGCAGTGAGTGTGCGAGCGTGACAGCAATATAATTACGCGCGAGCGATAAGGATGGGTAGCTTGGGGTCACTGGACGAAATTTTATCTGCTCGGCAACCGGACTTTAAAAGACTGATAAAGATTTACAAAAACTGATGGTAAATGATGATGATGTTTCATCAACTCACATGGAATCATTGACGAGCGCGTGCAGTTCTTTCTCAATCCGCAGCAGAGTGACTCGGTCCCTCCCGTTCTTGTTGAGGGTCTCTTTGAGGAAGCAGATGAGTTCTGGACCGGAGGGCTCCGCTTTATCGTCTGTCGATAAATTATGTCGTTAGTTTTATTTATACAGGGTGTCCCAGAATGGGTGAATCAAAGTGATAGGGGAGGTAGCTCTACTAATGTACTATCCCTTAAAAATATGAAAAAAAAACGCATGACACAAAAATAATGTTTTTGAAAAAGTGAAAATAAATCAGCTTTGTCTAAGTATCTGGCTATAATTGCTGCGTTTGGAGTTTATTTGTACTTTTTTCTTACTAATATTAATTGTACATGATCGCTTCGTTTATCTGTAAACAAACTTTTGAAAATAATGACTAGATTTCGAGTTTCGAGCACTTTATTTAAAAAAAAAATCCGAACTCAAAAATGTTTTTTTCATATTTTTCAGGGATACCTCCCCATCAGTTTGATTCACCCATTCTGGGACACCCTGTATAAAAGACCTCCTAGAAAAGTAATATTCTTGATAGTTTTAATTTCGATATAGTTTTTCAGAGCGAAATAATTCTGTTACAAAGATAAATTGAAATGAAAACTATTAGGAAATTTTGTGTGGGAGCAGGATACCGAATTTAGTGCATTTATTTAATGAGCAACATAATAAGCTTACAGAAAACCCAAAGCGCTTACATGTTTAGTCACCACATCTATAATATATAAAGCTCGATTACAATAAAATTATAAGTCAATATTGTATATTGAAGAAAATATCTAACGGGATCAATAACTGAGAGTCTGATGCCCGTTTTCACCATCAATCCCTAATTTTTAAGTGACCCCTATGGTAACACATAACTGGAATTTTGTTTTCATAGGGGTCACTTAAAAATTAGGGATTGATGGTGAAAACGGGCATGAGATACACAATAATTTTGAGGGCTTTGCTTTGCTCGCTTAGATGGATTCAAGCAATTTTTCAAGTGATAAATCTTTGTTTTATTATAATTGTTAGTACATAAAATAAATATAAACGTACCTGAATCTGTTCTACTTAATGATATATACTTTGGTTTCTCTTTGCGTTCGGGACATCTGAAATAAATAAAAAACATACCTATAGTCTCCAGCACATAATACAACATTTTTGTCGGAAAATAAGCCTTATTGTCTATACTATAGTCTGGTCCGTGAGCACGTAGAATTTTGTCCAATGACCCCAAGCTACCCATCCTTATCGCTCGCGCGTAATTATGTTGCTGTCGCGCTCGCACACTCACTGCGGGCGCCCGTCGCACAGTCGCGACAGCAATATAATTACGCGCGAGCGATAAGGATGTGTAGCTAGGGGTCATTGGACAAAATTCTACGTGCTCGCAGACCTGACTATAGATAAAAACCACAGCAACTGTTTTGATCGATATGCTATAGTTTAAATGTAACATACCTGCAGTAATAAATTTGTTCTTCAATCTCCACACTTTCTGATTTTCTTAAACCGTCCTGGCCACCTGAAAATGTAATGCATTTGTAAGAATGAAGTAATCTATGGAACTACTGATTCAATGAAATAGACCGGTTCTCGAAAACAGCGACGCGGGAGCGGGCAACGAGCGGGCAGCGCACTCCTTCTTTTGCTCACAATAAATCGAGCGTTAGGAATAAATTTGAATCGAAATAAAATTGTCGCCGTTGTTCAGACATTTCGTTTGCGAATAAAAACAAATATCTCGACAACACAACCCCGAACACAACACTTCGCCGCTAAAGCGCCGCGCGAGCTGCCCGCTTGTTTCGAGAACGGGTCTGCGTTGCCCGCCCCGCTCCCGCGCCGCCGCCGCTCCCGCCCCGCTGCCCGCTAAGTTCGAGGCTGAGGCCTTACACTCCCCGCGTTCGCCCCGAATCGTTTCGCAATCGAATACCGCACTTGTGCGCGATTTGTGGTTTATCTTCCTACTCCAACCACCCCAGAGAACCCCACGTCTAGGCTGCTACAGGCCTCCTGTAGCGACGATGGTGATCGGAGAAATTGAGCCCGTTGTTCTGCTACGCTGCTACACTCCATGAGCACATGCTGCGGTGTTTCCTCTGCCTCCATCCACCCCCTGCACAGTGGGCTGTCTGTAGGGGCTTAACATACATTGTCCTGTTATAACACTCGGGACCTTGCGGATGCTGTCCCTGTTTAGTCTGATGAGGCTGCGGGAGGACTTTAGTGTATAATACGATGCTCACCGTGGTCGTTGTCGCAGCAGTCGGGACAGTCGTCTGAGCACGCGATGCCGGAATCCTGCTTGATGCACGCCGGCCTCCGCCGTCGCCCTCTGAGAACAACATTCAAAGATATACCACTGTTATCTATACTCTATTCTCATCAATCATCTCTCTCTGGGTTACCAGAGACAAATGGAAAATGTGGCCGCCCCTCGCTGTCGCGCTGGCCAGACGGGTTAGGGAGGCCTTATCCTTCTAAGGCTGGGTTGCACCATCTTACTCTAACTATAACAAACGTCAAAAGTCTGTCAAACTCCATACAAAAGAACACCAGTACGTTATAGTTACGGTTAAAGTAAGATGGTGGAACTCAACCTAAATTTCATATAAATTGTACTGCTATACTTAGGCATAATATCTGTCTGACAGACGGACTGAGAAAACAGACTGTACGTCTCTTAGTCACCTCTTACGACATCCACGAGAAAAAGTACAAACAGAAAGCTAAATAAAAACCCGTGGTCTTCAGGGCTCGTGTGCATACTTTTTTTCCAGGCGTCGTCGATGCACATTTGTTCCGCTGATTTGGATTATTTCGCTAAAGAAGACGTGCTTCACCTCCGTTGCTGGCCAGTGACGTCACGTACCTGAAACGTGAAACGTGCGCAGGCGCCGCACACGCAGTGCACGCGCGGGTTGTGCGACAACAGGTCACGTGCTGGCTCCCCCCGCCGGCTAGTGATGACGTCAGCCGGTGACGTCACGTACCTGCAGTGCGGGCACTGTGCGCAGGCGCCGCACACGCAGTGCACGCGCGGGTTGTGCGACAACAAGTCACCTGCTGGCTCCCCGCCGCCCGCTAGTTATGACGTCAGCCGGTGACGTCAAGTGCCTGGCTCGCTAGTAAGGCCGCACGTACCTGAAGTGCCTCCATGTCTTGTACTTGTGCCATGTGGACAACTTTTTCGTACCGACGGCTGGCGATGACGTACCTATAAAGGTAGCCTTTCGAACTAAGCGTCACAGACGCAGCGTCTTTACGCCAAAGCTAAAGAGCTTTGGTCTTGAGTGCCACCAATGCCGCGTCAGTGTCGCTGCGTTCGAATGTCGTTCCCTAGAATTTCATACATTTGCATAGAACATCTATTTGTCGCTCTGTCGCGGCGTCACAGTCGCGGCGCCTTTAGCTTTGGTCTTAAAGGTAGCCTTTGGAAGCGAGTAAGTGACCCGGCGTTAGTGGCACAAGACCAAAGCTAAAGACGTTGCGTCTGTGACGCTTAGTTCAAAAGGCTACCTCGCTCATAGATGTCTTGCTTTTTGTACTACGAGTATATCTCACCTGCAGTGCGGGCACTGTGCGCAGGCGCCGCAAACGCAGTGCACGCGCGGGTTGTGCGACAACAGGTCACGTGCTGGCTCCCCGCCCCCTCCTGTGCGTCGCCTAGCGGGGCTCGCTTCGTCCCAGTGGCCGCTGGTGATCTAGGAAAGAAGATTAGATAGATAACGTTATTTTTTCACCAATACAAGACGAGGACATAAAGTTATCAGTTTTTATAGACAATCATACCGTAAAGTTTTTTTTTTTTTGAAGGGACGCGCGCTGGTAGCTTGAGGAGCTTTTCCAGCTTCACCCGGCAGAGTGGCAGTACAGAAGGTACTCTAGCCGTTTGGCGATCGTCGGTCGCAGACCGAGTGGCGAACCCAACTAGAGGGTTGCCCTCCGCGGTGTTGGACTAAAGTCCAGCCTACGGCGGGCTCACTCTAGTGGGCCCGATCGAGGGGACTACGGACGCGGCCTGAGGGCGCCACGGTAGGCTCTGACCTCGGCTCAGGCCGTGTCCGGGGGACGGATTGGGGGATACCGTAAAGCATCCTGCGTAAAAGCTATAATATTAGCTAAGCTATAATATTATATTATAGTCTTAAATTCTCTATGAATCCTAGACTGAAGACCTCATAAAGGTAGGAAGGCGCTGGATGCAGGCCGCTACCAACCGGTCATTACGGAAATCATTGAGGGAGGCCTATGTTCAGCAGTGGATGTCTTATGGCTGAAATGTTGATGAGGATACATTATGCTATGTTAACAGAAAGACGCTCACAGATGGGAAAAGGCCTCCCCCAAGGATTTCCACAACGATCGGCCCTAAGCTACCCGCATCCAGGCGCTTTCTGCAACCGTCTCCAGATCTTCGATTCACCGAGAGATTTGTCCAGTAGCGGATTTACCAGCAGGCTGAGTAGGCTGAAGCCTAGGGCGGCAAAGGACAGTGCCAATCCATGTATGGAAGTTGGACCAAGTGCTGCCCAGAATGAAACTATAGTGCATTTTGTTCCTCAGGCCAATACTAATTTGTAAACCGAAGCGCACTGAAATCTATCCCTGGAGTTAAGAGAAAAAAAGAGTTTAGTTTCGAATTATTTACATACAAAATATCATCGATGTAAACCTACTACGCATAAGATTTCGCGATTTTGGCATTAAATAACACTCGTTATGTTGAACTTAACCATACTACATCCGTACACCTTACTTAAGTACGACTTCTACATTATTTATAAGTGATCAAGTGCTGTTGCAGTAGTTTGGTTAGTTGACCGAAATTAATTATTTCCAAAATAGAGCAAGAAGTTTTAGCTTACAATAACTTCAATAATCGATTGTAATACACCAATAAATTGATTTTTCGCAAGGATAGAGAACTAAAACTTCTTGATTCATTTTGGAAATAATGATTTCTGTCAAGTAACCAAACTATTGCAACAGCGCTAGATCGCTTATAAAGAATGTCTAAGTCGCACTAAAGTAAGGTGTACGGGTGCAGTATGGTTAAGTTCAACATAGCGAGTGTTATTTAATGCCAAATTCACGAAATCTTATGCGTAGTACGTATACATCGATGATATTTTGTATGAAAATATTTCAAAACAACTCTTTTTTTCTCTTAACTCCAGGGATAGATTGCAGTGCGCTTCGGTTCACACATTAGTATTGGTCTGAGGAACAAAATGCACTATGGGTTGATTCTGGGCAGCACTTGGTCCAGACCCTGGCACTATCCTTTTAAGAGGCGGCAGATTTGTCTACAACTTTACTTTTCCAATCCGCGATTACCACTCAAGACCTACCCTAGCGGTTATCAGTTCTAGGAGCTGGCTCAAAAAGTTTTATGATCCTTTAAGTCAATATTTGGAATTCTGGAGTAATTTGTCGTGCAAAATTAATTAAATCGTCTTATTGAAATCAGATTAAGTGCCTTGCCTGTATTTCCACCGGTTGTTTCTTCAGCTCATCACCGTCGCAGCTCGCCACGCTGCAGTCGTCCTTCGCGCGCTCCGCACCGTTATTAATAACGTTATTAGTAACGGTATCGGTACCAGTAACGTTATTCGTTATTTCGACGGGGCACGCGGGTGATATGGTGCGCGGCGGGGAGGCGGACTCGCGGATCGCTTGGCTGCGCACGAGTTGCTTTGTTTTGAAACTCTGGAATGGGAAATGAGGAAATTGTTACAAAAAAAAAGATTTTGAATCTTATTTCGTTGCAATAGAGTTTAAAATATAATAACATAAAACTTTTCATATTAAAAAGTTTTGGAGAAAAAATTAAACAATCTTAATAAACCCAGAATGATAAAATTTTAAGGCTAATCTAACAACTAATCTAACTATTAGGAGACCGAGAGAGTGAGAAAAAAAATGTTTTGAAGAGACAGCAAGCAAATCAAAATCGCACTTAGCTGGATTAAATTTAACTAAAAGAAGTTTAAAGAATTGGAATGTGCGGTGGTTATTCCACACATCTAACATCTGCTGCATCAGACTTTAGTGATAGTAAACTATGACCGTAAATTTTGATAGAGTATGGTGTATCTTATAAATAATTTTATAGTTTTGTTTGTTTAGTACATGCTAGCGCTTTCAGTATCAAACGCCATTAACTGTAACATACTAGACAACACCCGTGGCTTCTCCTGCGTGTATTTTTGACTACCTATCACCGAAAGACTTATCACGTGGTGGGCATAATATCGTATTTTTAAAGTAGTGACCCCTCTGAACTGGTAATTATTCTGTAGTATTTCAGATCACCTGGTATTACTGCGTTTTTGGCAAATAAGCGTTTGAACTTTGAACTTAATCATATGAATTCGATAAATAGAACTAAAAATACTTACTCTATTTCTATTGAGTTGGCTTCCTTCCTCAGAAGTCGGTTTTTCAGGTTCAGATCGCTCCATTTTTTCTGTTTTTGCTCTGAAAAATAACGGTATTTTTAACGTTACTCATAAAATATGCTGTAAATATACGGGGATTTTTGTTTAGATAAAATAATACCAACCTTCTATTCTTACGCCAAATATTTCTTCTAAGTATATCGTATAGATTCTTAACATCAATTTAAAAAAAATGAAAGGGAAAGATTCTTAACAAATTACAAGAATTGGACCAATCACGGTATACTACGACTACAAATAGAAGGCAACTATATTTTTTATAATTACTTGTATCTTAAAAAGAGGTTTTCGTCGAAAAACTTTTTAAAGCTGCAATTGTTTTTTTTCTAAAAAGAAAAAATTAAAACCCCGCGCGCGGGTGTTCAGAATAGTCCCCGTTTCAAATTTGAAATATAGAACACATGGTATTCTGTAAGCTCGATGTTTTTTTCTTTTTTTTTGTTGTTTATGGTTTTCGCGTTGGGCTGTATGGATTGAGACAGTGGACGGCGTGCGACGGAGTGCATGTTTCTGACGTTAATCCAAGATGGCGGCGGATGGGGAGGGGGCGTGATATGGTTTGATCCGGTGTTTCTTCACTATGTTGGACGCCATAAATCTGTAACAAGGAAAATGAGACGTTAATTTGGTTGAATAATAAAATTACAAAAAAGGTCAAAGATTAATGTAATCCATTTTTAACTAAAGTAATCTTTAGCTAATGAGGGACTGAAAAGATATTTCGCGCACCAGATGTCGCTTTCGCTTTGCTAGCATGAGTTGAGCTGTTATGTGACCGGTCTAGCAGTCCTAATCCTAAGTTTAATTCTCAGATGGGACACACTTTTTCTTAAATTATTTTGTTTGAAGATATTCGAGGATCTACAGACAGTTGAACATAAATAACATACCACCCTAAACAACAAGCGAAATTGCATTGAAATCGTCAATCATTTCAATAATCGAATAAAAAAACTTACAATAAAATAACCAACGAAAATTAAATAAAAGGGGGAAAAAGTTGACTACACGACACTTTTAAAGTAGGATCAACTTGATACAAACACAAATATGTAATCAATTTTAAACTATTTTTTAAACTATAAATCCAAAGTTTAAACCACTGCACAACCACGACTGTTAGCTCACACTACCACTGTTAAAGAACTGACAATTCCATCTGCATTTCTAAAAGCTTTATCGATGGGAACCCCATATAAAATCCCAAGTGGATTCTGCTGTGACTCATGCATGGCGCTTATGTTGTTGCCTTACGAGGTTTGGGGAAAAACTATAATTAAATATAATAATATGAAAAAAAAGTCAGATTTACATAATCATTATGTATTAATCACTTATGTAAGTATTTACAAAAAAAAGAGTATTTAAGTAGGTATGTTTATATCCGTTGACTAGTACCCATAGTACAAGCTTTGGGGCCGTTCAAGTATTACGTAAGCAGATTTCTTACCATTTTTTACCCCCCCGCCCCCCTTGTCATCAAAAGTAAGCAAAGCACTTACCCCCTCCCCCTATGCTTACGTAAACATTTTGTTATAAATGTTTTTTATATTGTCATTTTTAAAATAGGAAAATTCATGAAAATATTAGGTTTTCCGACCGAAACTACTTTTACGACCGAAACCGAAAACGAATTTCGGCAACGGTGTCTATTTCGGCCGAAACCGAAACCGAAACCGAAACTTCCTTACAAGGCTCATATTTTGAGGGAAAAATAAAGAAAACGTTATTATAATCAATAATCAGGCAGTCTTTATTGTTTTCTCTTTAAATTGCATTAAAATTGAACTTATAAAGCGCCTTTTTACTCTAAAAGGTATCAAATTATGTATTAAAAAAGAAAAAGAAAGATTTATACTTAGTCTACATTTTTTTTAATTAGGTACTCGCAATATTCAGGACATCTACATAACCCGTCCCATGGTCGGGTCTTTTACCTTAATAATTTCTCAAAACAAAATTGGTAGTACGTAAGTTAGTATCTACTGTACTTGGTGATACAATACTTTAGTATCCAAACAAAACACGCGCGCGGGAGGCCGGCCTCGCGTAAAATAATATTTTATGCGGACTACGACTCCCAAATTTCAATGGGCAATGTCGGCACGAGAGTTAATTATTAGACAAGTGAATAGCGCACGGTAATTTCCCTAATGTGCGGTAATTCCCTTAATCAGTTCTCAAAGAGAGTGCCTACGCATATTTGCGGGAATCCCCGAAAAAACGTAAATAACTAACGATGACGTAATCATCATCTAGACCCCCCTACCCCCCCATGTCATCAAAATAAGCAAAACAGAGACCCCCCACCCCCCCTTGGTGCTTACGTAATACTTGAACGGCCCCTTTTCTTAGTTTGGGACTAGAAGCGTAGTGTAAAATGTCCAAGGATATTTTACCAATAAAAGTATAGTATGTATATGAATTTTTTGGTGTATAATACCCAACAAGTAACTGAGTAAGATGCTACAATTTACCTTGTTATGCCATGTATAGGAGCAATGTATGTAACTATGTGTATACTAATATTATAAAGAGGAAAGATTTAATTGTTTGTTTTTATTGATAATCTAAACAATATTGAATGATGTCAGTGTAGTAAATGATGTTAAATAAGTTTTTTACTTTTATTAACTTGATTATTTTCTTTTATAATTTGAAGGAAGTTAACAAAAACTGTATAAGAAAAAAAAGATAATTCATTGAGCAATTAAAACAATATTTGACTTCTTTATCGATATAAATTATTATGATTGATTTGAATTACACACTGCGCAGAAAATGCAATAATTTACAGTAAATTAATTCAAAAATAGCCCCAATTACAACTACACAAGAGACAGTGTTTACCTTCACATACGTTTAAAGCCTTATCAATATTAATTAATTGTTTAAGCCCGTTCATTGAATGTCCATGTTAATTTATAGCCAACGCATTATTATCAAATAATTAAAATACTAATACAATTGGTTGGCCCAATTTGAATTAAAATAACATTTGTATTTCACTGAATAAATATGCAGTGCATATAGTTTAGTAAGTTTAACAACATCATCATAGCCCGAAGGATTAGCAAGCTGAAGTGGCAATGGGTAGGGCACATAGTACCCAGAACTGACGGCCGATGGGGCAGCAAGGTTCTGGAGTGGAGGCCTCGTACCGGGAAGGCGCTGGATGCAGGCCGCCACCAACCGGCCATTGTGGAAATCATTGGGGGAGGCCTATGTTCAGCAGTGGACGAGCTATGGCTGAAATGATGATGATGATGATGATGAATTGGAGGATTTGGCCTACACTCCCAACGCTGCCGCTGGCTAGACGGGTTGGGAAGCCAGTTTACAGAATAAATAGGCAGTATAATTTTAAAATCATCATCATCAGGACATTTAGTCTCCACTGCAGGAGCACGTAAATTTACCAGAGGCAGATGGAGGATTTGGCCTACACTCCCCACGCTGGCCAGACGGGTTGGATAGGCCTGTGTAAAAACAGATTTTTGTTTACATAAGAATGTTTACATGTAATACATCAATTATTTCGATGTATTACAATACTAATTATTACGATTTTAATTAATGTTGTTAATGATTGATATTACAAAAAAATTAACTTTTTCTTCATTGCATAATGTCCAAACAAAATAAACAACACATTTAGTAGAGTTACGAAGTCTTACAAGAGTGTTTCCATTGTACTAAGACGTCAAGATTTGAATAATCCCTACCACCAGCCAAACCCGGGATCTCTAAATAAAAAGAAGAGGAAGAGAAAAAAAAGAAAGAAAGAGAAAAAAATAAATAAAGAAAGATAAAGAAAAGAAAAGGCTGCTGAATCACTAAGGCAAACTTCAAGGATTCAACCAAACTTTTATCGGAGAATAACTTCTAGTATAAATGGCACATTGACAGTTTCAGTATGGGAAATTTATGTCAAAATGACAAGTTGTGTCAAATGACAAACAATGACAATTTATTTACTTTTGTTTGTATTCTGAGATTAATATTTACTCTTGTTTGGTCGAATCCAACCTTAAATAGAGAAACAAAACATACCTACTTAGTCAAAAAGTATAAATGTTTCGGATATCGTGTACAGGAGTTTAATAGTCAACGGAAACGCGCGTAGGCGCCATGACCCAATGCCCTTGCAAGTTCAAAGTCTATGTACACAAACGCTTGCATTTCCAACTCTATCACTAACAACGTAAGGTTGACTTTACATTTGCGATGGCTTGTTAGGCCTATGTAATCTTATGCTTGTATTTTCAACTCTATTTTTAGAGTGGTAAGGTTTACTTTGGACTTGGGGGTCAGTGCTAGGCTTTTAGGTAAGGGCATAAAAATTAGGCTAGATTGTTATCGCCTGGGTCTGAATGGGAAAGGTTAATCCCATCAAAAACAATACTTGTCAAAAAAACCAAGTCTCGCAACTCAGTTGTTCTACGGTAAAAAGTTGTGAGATCCATGTAATACCAAGTCCAGGCCAGGAAATCTTTAACGTTTTACATAAATTATTGACTTGGCCATCGCACTAAATAATTTAATTTACACGTGTTTTCATGCGATGGCCAAGTCAATATATTTATGTAAAACGTTAAAGATTTCCTGGCCTGGACTTGGTATTACATGGATCTCACAACTTTTTACCGTAGAACAACTGAGTTGCGAGACTTGGTTTTTTTGACAAGTATTGTTTTTGATGGGATCTCATTTCTTTTTGTATTTTGTAGACAGCAGTTATGTATCTAGAAAACTGGACCGAAATTGAAAAATTTTACTCGACTTGGCGGTTGCACTACCGTGCCCCCAAATATTTTAGTTTTTCCTTGATTCATACACCAAACACTACTTATATTCCAAATTTGAAGCTTCTAGGTCTGCTAGAAGTGCCTTAGAATTTTGATGATCGGTGAGTCAGTCAGTGAGTGACAAAATTAAGTAACTTTGACCCGTTATAATTCTTAAACTACTGGTTCAAATTGAATGAAATTTTAAATATACCGTGTCTTTACAATGCCTACATAGCTAATGAAAATTCAGCCTTCTAGTTTTATCCACAACGAAGTTACAGGCGGTCGAAAATGGCCTGAATTGCTTCGAGAAAAGGATGGTACGGCCGTGCCGCTTTTTTGCTCGACTTGGTGGGGGCACTGCCGTGCCCCCAGATCGTTAGGAATGAGTCACTTTACGTGATTGGGGATAATTCTCAATGTATTTTATTTGTTTGATCTTTCTTCAAAGCTTTGGTTTAGTCTTTTAAAAGACAGTGGGAATATAGGTACTTCCCACTATACATATCTTGAACCTTATTCGCTTGCTTTAAGGTCCAAAAACGATTGAAAAAGAGCTTTCTCGTTGTGGATAAAAAAATAAGTTGGAAAACAACTCAGCAAGGACTAAGATGACCACACACTTCGGTCAAATATCTGCATTCTGGAAAACCTAGGGTTTTTTTTTAATAATTTGCAAAATGGGAAATCCTGCGTGGATTTTCAATTGGTTTTTAAGTTTCTGCTACAGCGTAAAATACACCAATTTTTATGGAATATACCAGTAAATAATAAGAAAAGTAGAATCCATCCTTTTTGTTCGATC